TGTATTCCTAAAGAATATAAAGAAAAATAAAGAAAAAGGTTAAAAAATCCAAACAAAAGTCACCTTTGATTTACTTATCAAGATGTGAAATTTCCCAAAAAGTCATTAACGATTTGCTTATCTTAATTTCAAGATGTGAAATTTCCTAAAAAAAGTAAAAGAAAATGGTAAATTTTCATCCAAAAAGTTACTAACGATTTGTTTACCTTAATTTCAAGATGAGAAATATCTAAAAAAAATAAGAAAAAGAAAGGAAAATGGTAAATTTTCACCTGAAAAATCACTAACGATTTGCTTATCTTAAAAAATTTCTTAAAAAAAAAAAGGAAAATGGTAAATTTTCACCCAAAAAGTCACTAACGATTTGCTTACCTTAATTTCAAGATGAGAATTTTCTAAAAAAAATAAGAAAAAAGAAAAGGAAAATGATAATTTTCACCAAAAAATCACCAACGATTTGCTTACTTTAATTCCAAGATAATAATTTTCCTAAAAAAAAGAAAAAGAAGAAAAAATTTACCTAAAAATCACTTCTGATTTACATTTCTTATTTTCAAAAATAAGAAACTTTTTAAAAAGATAAGTAATCTAAAACAAAAAATCCGCCTAAAACTTGTTTCTGATTTATTTATCTTATTTCCAAATGAGAATTTTCCTACAAAAACAAGGAAAATCCACCCAAAAACTTGTTTTCGATTTACTTATTTTTAAAATGAAAATTTTCTTAAAAAAAAAAGAAAAAATTAAGGAAAATAGTAAATTTTCATCCAAAGAATGATTTATCACATTTCTGAAATGAGAATTTTCCTAAAAAAATAGTAAAAATCTTCAAAATAAGAAAAAAAATACAAAAAAAAGAAATGAAAAGGGTTAAAAAAAGGAAAAAATTTTTTTGGATTAATCTGAAAGTTTTTTAGCCAATCGGATGATTTTTGTATTGTTCAATTGAAACATCGTTTCTATTGAATGATTTGTATTGTTCCAAAAGGAATGATTTTTTATCGTTCAAATCAAACGATAATTGTTTCAAAAGAAATGATATTGAATTGTTTTTAATGAACGATAATCATTCCAATAGGAACGATTTTTTTATCGTTCAAATCGAATGATCATCGTTCCAAAAGGAATGATGATGTATTGTTCCTTTGAGATGATTTTTGATCGTTCAATAAGAACAATGATCTATTGTTCCAAAAGGACGATTTTTTAAATCGTTTTTAATGAACGATGATCTATCATCTCTTTAGGAAGATTTTTTAAATCATTCTTAATGAACAATAATGTATCGTTCCTTTGGAATGATTTTTTGATCGTTCAATAAGAACAATGATCTATTGTTCCTTTAGGACGATTTTTTTAAATTGTTCTTCTTGAACGATAATGTATCGTCTTAAAAGGAATGATTATCTTTATCGTTTCTTAGAAATGATTTGTATCTTCTCTTAAGGACAATTTCTATTATTCCTTTAGGATGAAGTTTCTAATTGATGATTTTTGAATTATCCAATTGAACCAATCAGAATTAAAATTTTGGCTTAACTCTAATTGACCATAAATTAGATAGGTTGATTTAGGTTAATTTTTGGCTGATTGATGATTATGTCTGTTTAACAGACGATTAATAAACGATTTATCACATGTCTGATTTTTTTGATTTTGACCAGTGAAAATAACTATATGGTAAAGTTTAAAATTTTCTCAATAGAACGAGTCATATGAACATTATTGAACAAATTGTGAAATTCTTAAATTATAGTTTGATTATCTAAAAAATATTGTTGGTGATGAGGAAGGAGGACAAGCAATCAAAGCAATCAGCAATACAACTAATTCAACTCTTGTTAAAGATAGATAATGTTGAATAGTAACAGAAAAAAAACATTGATCATAATTATATAAATTAAAGGAGATCTAACCAATATTCATGTGATAATTAACTATTGTAACACTTATTAACGAACCATTTGTGTAAATGTTAGATAAACTATTACAATTAAAAAATATATTAGAAAAGGTGTTAAAAAGTTATTGGAGTTGAAGTTTATAATGATGCTATTCAATGAGATTATTGATTAAAGTATATTGATAAAATAATAAGAAATGAGATTGAAAAGATCAAATTAACATTCTGTTGCTATTGTTGTATTCTAAGTGATTATTATCTAAGCAATCATTATTTATGAGAACTAAGAATCTCTTTTAATGATTATATCATGATACTTGTACCTTTATATGAATGTGATGATTTAGTTTTTTTTTAATTATAATAGTATGAAATGGATCACAAAACTGCACACATATAACTGATTTCAAAGGAGGGCTACTTTTTTTAAATCAAGATCATCTAAGAAAATCTAAGAGTTGTAAATTATTAATATCACAACTATCATAAAAAACAATAGAACATTTTATATGTTGAGAAAGAATTTGGTTATTTTTAAGAAAAAGGACTAAGTGTTAATAAGCCAATAAATTGTTATCAGGGTATTTTCTTAAGATTCTTCCAGTGATTGGTCGATTTGATTAAACATGAAAAACTGATACAAATTTCCTTTTTTTTACTATCTAAATCTACATCTAAACTTGGAGAAAAAAATAAATTATTGGAAACTAATCTAAAAGTATTTTTAATTATATTATTATTAGGATTATCTAAAACTAAAAAAGAAACTAATGTATAAATTCTAGGAAGTTTAGGAGTAGGAAGAAAAATGATAAAATAGCAAGAACAGCTAATTATTTCAGCCCAGAAAAGTAAAGAGAATCCATCAGTTACCAAAACTGATCAAGAAAAATTATTGTATTTGAAATATCCAAGAATGCAACATATGGGAGGATTGCTAGGAAAATGGGGCTTTGAGTATTTTTTATTAAAATTTTAATTTTTATTGCATTTTAATTTTTGATAATATTAGATTAAAATGCAATGAAAATTAAAATTTTAATAAAAAATGCTCAGAGCCCCATTTCCTAGCAATCCTCCCATATGTCGTAAAGATTTTCGAAGTGTATGCAATTTTTTTTTCAAAAATAAAAAATATTATGCATAAATAATCAAAGTTTTAAACAAATAATAATTTAAATCTAATATTTATCCAACCACCTTAGATATCTCATCCATTTTTGTTATTTGAACATTCAACTATCGAAATCTCATGATGTTGGATATGCATTATCAGTGATGTTTTAAATTGTAGTTAAAATAAGGAAAGTTATCAATTATATCGTCCATATTAATTAATAATTAAATACCTTAAATAATCTATGCATGACAACACATAAATCATGCATCGCGTTGGACAAGAATAATAAAAAAATGAATGATACTTATAAGCAAGTTATACGGAAAGGAAACCCAAATTAATGACACTTCTACGTAAAAAATGCACCCATTTAGATGTTTTTCTTCAGTCAGATCTTGATTCTCTTAACGTTATTATAGAAGTTAACTTGTCAAATAATCATTGTTTCATACCATTATCAATCTTCGATAATAATATCTTGTAATTACAATGGAAATAGGTCCTTATCATTGATGTCTGCTACTTAATAAATTTCAAAGTATTAATACGATTGATTTGAATATTGAAAATCTTTTAAAGTAAAGGAAGTATTATATATTATTAGTGAGATCTAAATGAGAAATTAAAAATCATTTGATGAAAATAAAAAAAAACTTACAGTGTATTAACTGTATTTTTATAGAATAACGTGTAGAAAAAGTTATATATGATAATTACTATACTATAAATCAATACTTTTATATTGTGTTCATTTACTTGTTATTCGGTGAGTCTAAACTTTTTATTGAACCGTTCAGTCAAGGAGTTGAGTCCTGATTATTATTTCTATCAAAAATATTAACATTGTATTTAATAAATTTTATAATTGACGTTGCATCTCGCCGAATTTATCAATCAAAGACGCGAAAAAAATGTACGTCATTTATAAAATCATCTGCACGTCTGTAATCTGGTGTGACTTCTTTTTCGATTTTATCGGTCATTCATTTAACCGGTGCGGTGGCTTAGAAACTTTAATTAACGTTAATCAAATGATTCTATAATAATTATTGTTTAATATCGCTCTGGGACGAGTTTTACATATGAAAATTTGGAAAATGCAAAAAAGAAAAGAAATTGCTGAAAAATTTTGTTTTATAATAAATAATATTTGGTATATATATATATATTCGATTTATGAAATAAAGTTTTATGAATAATAATATATAATTAATGTTTTAATTTTTCGGTCTATATTCAGTTACATACCGGTTCATAAATTTATTGAGCTTGGTCCAAGCTCTGGTATATTGTTGGTCATAAAAAGTAAGTCTAAAGTGTCGAAACGAATATTATTTTTTTTTCATTAATATGGTTAAATTTGATAATAATAAATTTTTTTTTCTAATATTTCAGTGAAATCCACAGTTTCAAAGCATCTAATCGCACCAGATCATAATAATAAATCGAAAAGATATGATTTACCAAGTGAAGAAGAATATGAAGAAAGTATGTAATATAAACTTCGTGATTTAAGTTTATTGCCAGATGAATTAACATCGTTTATTTTTGTTAGTCAGTCGTATGCAATTGCGACGTTATATGCTTAGATACATGTGGCAATGTAATTTTGCTGCACCGGTACATGGCAATCTTTCTGGTGGGCGTTACGTTACGTAAGTTTGATCTTGCGTAAAATGGTTTCAAACTTGTTTATATTTACTTACCAAATCTTTAAATTTTAGCTGTGATACGACTTCATATGAATTGGTATAATGCAAATTTTCCATGAAAGAATGGGAAAATTCTTATTACTCGAGGCTTTGAGGTCTTAGACCTAGTAAGTATATTGAATCACATGAATTTGATTGTGATATGATGAATTTAGGTCATTGTTTTAAGAAGTTGATTGATGATTTAAGAATATAGCTTTCTCTTCTTTATTTTTTAAAAAATACAAATTATGATAATTATTAAATTTTTAAAAAACTGTGCAACTTATTTAATAATAAATTCCAAATTCCCTATTATATATCTTTATATTAAAAATTTTTTTAATTTAACAAAATCATTAATATGCAAATAAATTTATTATTTTCTTCAATATATTACATTATTCAATTAATATATTTATAAGATCTATAAAAAATTGTAAAAATTTTTTTTACAATTTGGTATATCATATAGGATATAAAGAAATATTTTTAATAAAGTTTAAACTTCACTTTATTATAAAAGATAGTTAAGTATAAGGATAATTTATACTATTAACCTTTATTATTTGAAACTGTAACTAATATTCTTTTTAGATTTTCTTTTAATTCCAATTAAAATTATTTTTGATTTAATTATAAAATAGTTTAAAAATTAATATATATAAATAAATAAATAAAAAAACTTTTTGTGATAATATTGGATCTAATTTATCTAATAGTTTTACAATGATATATTACAGTATATAAAATTTAAGATGAATTCTGATAACAGAAAAATTTAATGTAATAAATAAAATTTTAATTTGAACATTAAAAATCTTATATGGGCGGTTGTCAATAGAAAGGGGGGAAATCTAGATTTTGACCAAAAATTTTTTTATTGGCTTATTTGATAG